GCTTATTGGGCCTATGTGAACTAATGTTGTAATACCCAACCCGTATCCGACCCGGATACGAGCCAGAGATGTCGCATTGACATTTCAAAACCCTTATTCTTGCAAAATAATAGAACATTTGAACTCTTTTTAAGAAAATACGATAATATATTGTTGAATCATGTTTATTATAACCAATTTAAGAAAATATACGTTTTATGAACAGTAAAATACGATATGAACAGTGAACAATACCATATGAACAGTAATGAATTTCGAGTACTAATTGTGTATCAATGCACTGCTACAGTAACTTCGACAAAATACGTATAAATTCATAAAAATCTGAGTTTTCATTCGTATAAAAATTCCATTTACATATACACATTTAAAACATTGCAAAACTCTATCATATGATTTTACAAACCGATTAGAATATATCAGATTTAAACCATTACTTACATGCCAACCATTATCCTTATTACAAAATACATATTATACATTTCTTTTATGATCTGATCTTTGGAAAGGAGAACTGACCTGTCTTGCATAACTTTTATCAATTTTCCTCTTCTCGGGAACCTACGTGTAAAACAATCACACGCTAAGTCGTTGACTTAATGAAGCATGAAAACATATGATATTACTCTACTCATATTAATGCATAAACAATTAATACTATCATATCTTATAAAAGCATATACCATTTACAATACTTATCAATACTCATATTATTATCACTAATTCCTTTATATCATGTAAGCATATACTGAACCTTTCTATACTCACCATCGGGCATCCATATCATTTTACAACAGAGCACACATAATATCATATCAAGTTATTTATTATCTTTAAAGATCATGTATTAGCCCATGTATACTTTTGAAAACTTAAGGTATGTGAGTACATTGAGGTTGTGCACCACTATGCTGTCACCACAGCTCGTATAAATGTCCCGAAGGACCTATCCAGAGGTCATAAAGAACCTCAGCAACTGTCCATAGGTCCCGAAGAACCTAGGTAAACTGTCTATATGTTCCTTAGAACATAACTATACTGTCCATATGTTTCTGAGAACATAGGTATATTGTCCATATGTCTCAAAAATACATAGGTAATTCTGTCCATATGTCCCGAAAAATATAGGTAATTCTGTCCTTATGTTCCATAGAACATAGGTAAACCCTCGACTCTTGGCATGCCAACTATACCACTAGCTCTCATATCACATAACATGGGCATTATCATTTCATATCACTTGTTCTTTCTCTTCTGTCACATACCACTTGTATGTGTAAGCATATATTTCATATTTCATATCATATAGCATATATATATATGGTTCACTTTCACATATCACATATTTATATATACACTTTCATGTCATTCATTTAATTCTCTATATCCTTATCACATAGCTTCTTATTTCTCATGTTCTCATGTAAGCACATATATCATGTCTTGTTTACTTATGTTCACATATTCACATCACTTATTCATATCATCTCTCTTTTAATCCCATATTTCTCCTTTTCTGTCACATATCACATGTGCATATAATCACATAGTTTACTTTCATATAATTCATGTCACTTATGTTCACATAGCTCGTATCACTTTGCATGGTTTCACATAAACATATATGTACATCACATAGCACCTATAAACTCATTTATTTCATAGTTCTTTCACATAACACACTATCATATTTTCATATCATATATCTTATAATAGATTCTTATATCATCTCTTGTTTCCTTTTTACCTATTCACAATCACACTAGCATATACTCATACAAATCATGTCACACATACAATAACATAAGTACAATTTAAATTGCACTCACCTTAGCCTTGCTTTGATTCGATACTAATTCTTTGATTGTTCCGAAACTTGTTTAGGCTCAATTTCTACATAAGCATAATTTTCGAGACGATTATCAGAAGCCTAAACCTTATAACTTGATGTTAATAACTCAGGCTAATTTAATAAACCAAATTTCAGCTTTTCCTTTAGGAGTGTATCGATGCACTATGGGTGCATCGGTACACAAAATAGCTTCGAAATATCCATGCATCGATGCACCTACCCAGAAATCACTGTTCATTGCACGAAAATTCACTCTTTGAACTTCAATTCTTTAAGTTTCATTCCCTTTAATATTCTTAACTCAAATATACATGCTTAAACTCATTTATATCTATTTATTTCATCTTAAACCTCAAAATTTTATTCTCCATATAAAAATCAATAATCATACCAAATTTTCCATGTTATCCAAACTTAATTCTAACACTTCTAACTTCTTATTCTCATAGATGACAAGTCAAATTTATCCTCCAAATTCATTTAAACCTTCTTATTCAAAATTTCACTTAAAAACCCATTTTCTTTAATCTATCATAACTCCTTTATCTTTTGATTTTAAGATAACTTAAGCTTTCCTTAAGTTTAGTTATCATCTAAGGATCAAAACCCAACCTTTAATTGAACAGATAATCAACTAATGAGGAAACTTACCTTTTGCTTGTGGAGAAGAGAAGAAGATGTAGAAGAGAATTTCTTGGAAGCTTATCTCTTTAATCATTCTCCACATAGGTATTATAATACTCATTAATTATTATTTAATTATTTTCCTTGTTTAATTACTCATTTGCCCTTTGACTCCTTTAATATTTACTAACAACTTTCAGGAAATATCTCCATATAAATCATTGAACTATTCAACTATTCTACTTTTATCCCCAAATTCTAAAATTTTACATTTTAGTCACTAACCCTTAATTTGAGATGTTACAAATGTATTGCCAAAATTATTTATATTAATAATGTAAAACGTTAATATATATTACATAGTAAATACTTTCATTGTTAATATTATTTTTTCTTTATATAAATTAAACTATATAATTTATATAAATTAAACTATATTAATTTTCCTTTGCATTATTAATCTTGTTTTATCTATTATACATTTAAATAATTTTATTAAATAATTTTATATAATATGTCTATTTATTAATTTAATTATCATAATAAATATTTTATTATAACATTTAAAAAGTAATTATATTAATTTTTTAATTACATCATAAACTAAAAAACTCATAATTTTATTAAAATCTTATAATTTCGTACATGGTAATATATAAGTGAGGGAAATATCAGATCAGGTTAAAAACAGGTCAGGTTGAAAACTTGTCAGGTTGAAAACAACTCAGATAATACCAGTTATTTACCAGGTCAATTTTGGTTTCGGGTTCATATTAGTCAGATACAGGTCGGGTTCGGATCCACAATTTCCAGGTTCAACTCGGATTCAGGTAAACACCAGTTCCGACTCGAGTCGGTTTCGGATAGCTACAGCGCAGGTTAAAAATAGTTTTGACTCGAGTTGGTTTCAATCAGTTTTACAGGTCGGATCAACTTTTTACACCCCTAAGCGTACTAGTAGGATAGAAGACATGGTTTTCCTTCATGGTTCGTGCCCAAGCTTTGGCCAAGTGGATAGTAGCCATGGCCGACCAAATTTGACCCTTGAACACAAAGCAGTTGCGGTTCTTCTACAGTCTCCAGATAAGAACGCTGAATAGTTGCTTTCAGTTTAACTCCGGTGTATCCATACCTGCACTGTTAGGTTTAATTGTAACCAATCCGGTTGGGGGGGGGGGTTGAGAAAAATACCAAAGTGTTCTGCTGCGGGATTATTTGAGTCCAGATTGAACGGGTAAGATGACATTCCCGAAGCACATGGATGATGAGAAAAATACCAAAGTGTTCTGCTTAGGTCGCCAACGATACACACCGATGTTTAGTTGAGAAGAATACCTAATGTTTTCAAATTATATTTTGAGTGTTTAGTCTGCCACGGGTTTAAAAAAAATATTATCTGATATGTGTCATAATTATAAAATTTAAGGTTTATTAGAAAACTTAAATTATAATTTATTTATAAGAAGATTAAAATTAGAGCTCTTTGGGATTCCAAGATTTCTTTTTGTAATTTCAAAAAAAATAATACTTTTTAAGTATTTATTAAAAAATAAGAAACTTAAAATTTTATAAATAGGAACATAACAAATTTTTTTAAATACCGTTTTGACATAATCTTTTATCATTCTGACAATGGTGCAACCATCACTTCCACAACTCCGATCATTGATCAACTTCACGGCCGTCATATAATCGGTCTCCACTTCCACTCTTCGAAATCCCATGAGAAACACCTACTTTCTTAGCATTCATTTTTGCATTAAGCCCATTGGTCTGCCGCTCATATTTTTTCCGATTTTTTTATCAACAACGATATTAATTTTAATATTGATTGTCGACCGTCAATATTATTTATTATTATTATTTTTATATCGTATCTTTACTTTATTTTTATTTTTTGATTTTCAATAAGTCTATCTGTATTGCAAGTTTTCATCTATTTTATGACACTTTTTTTTATGATTTTTGGTATTTTTTCGGTTCTTTAATCATTTTTTATTTATCTATTTTAAGGATTGATTTGACATCGTCACGATTGATCAAGATGACACTTATATGATATCTTGTTGATCTTCCTTGTTTTGGATCCTCAGATTGAATTTGGATACTCGATTTGCGTTTATGGATAAATTTTCACGTTGCTCGAGTTTGATTTGCGATTTGTCAATGGTCTCTCAATAGTTCGATCATCTTTTGTAATTCGTTTGTTGATGCAATCATATCTGTTTATATTTATATTGTTTTGAGTTTCTTGGTTAAATTTAATCTTTCATTGTATGTTCTTTATGTGATGAAATTTTTCTAATTATATGCTTAATTTACAATTATGAATGTAAATTTTTATTGTTATTTGAATTTTTTCCTATTTTAAATATAATTATTTTCTTCTATAAATTTTTGTTTTGCATTAAGCCTTTATTTAAAGTCTAACTTCCCTTAATTCAAAAAAAAAAAAAAAATCTAACTTCCCTTATGGGCTTCCTTATGTTAAATCAATGTCCCCAGCCCATATTTATATATAAATGGAGGCTCTCAAGGCTTCAGCTTCAAGCGCCAGTTCGTTCATTGCCTTCGATTCCGAGAGAGGAGTAGATTTTCGCTTCTCTCCGTCGTTCGTCGTCGCTTTATAACCGCTCGCATTTCACTCAGGCAAATTCCTCTACCTCCTCAAAATTCTAAACGGCTTTTCGTTTCGCAGTTGATTTTTTTCTTCAAATTTAGCTTATGGCTCTCCAGATCTGCCTCTTTGGAATTTGACTTCAGTTTGGTTCAACATTGCGTTAATCTCTTAAAATTTCAATTCTTTTCGTATTTCATCTTAACTGAATCTCGGGAAAGCGACGTATATTCGTTAAATTGCTCCGATCTGCATTTTCTCGGATTGAAATTATTTCGTAGTCCCCTGTTTCCAGTCGTTTCTTGAACGATCATCTCATGCTTGTTTTGATTTCAGAACTTTGGATTCTTATTTTGATTCTTGAAATTCTATCTATGATTATGCAAATTCACATGTGGATTTTGGTGTTTTGACAGAAGTGAAAAATGGGGTTGTCTTTCGCAAAGCTATTCACCCGGCTTTTTGCCAAGAAGGAGATGCGTATTCTGATGGTTGGTCTTGATGCTGCTGGTAAAACCACCATTCTTTACAAGCTTAAATTGGGAGAGATTGTCACAACCATTCCTACCATTGGTAAGTAGTTTTTTTTTTTCACTCTTGAATAAAATTGAATTTTGTTGCAAATTGTGATAATTTTATGTAATCTTGTAGGATTCAATGTTGAGACCGTGGAATACAAGAACATCAGCTTCACCGTTTGGGATGTTGGTGGCCAGGACAAGGTATCAAGTTTGGTTTTTTATTTAAAGATGTTTTTTTACTGTAGATGTGGTATCCAAGGGAAAAAAAACTAGGGTGTCTTGTATGTGTTTTGTTTATGGCAATAATTTGGGCAGAATTTCATGATCTCGTATATTCTATAAGCAATTAAGCATCTTGATAACATGCACGTGTAGTTTCATTGAAGGAGAGAATATGGGGTAGGTGTTAGATGGGTATGTGCAAAGCTGGATGCTTAGTGCTCAAAATCGGATCTTAGTTCTATTAGAATAATAAAAAAAAGTGTTTATTATTTTGACTTTTTGTCTCTATTATTTGACTTGTTGATCTGATATGATTGTGTACATAGATCCGACCATTGTGGAGACATTACTTCCAAAACACACAAGGACTTATCTTTGTGGTTGATAGCAATGACCGTGATCGGGTGGTTGAAGCTAGAGATGAGTTGCATAGGATGCTGAATGAGGTACTTTTGAGCATAAACTTTTCCTGGGCTTATGGTTCTGATAATGGTTTTGAAATGATTAAAGGTGCACTCTGAATGGGTTTTTCTTGCTGAAACCTAACATGTTTTATATGCATTGGCAGGATGAGTTGAGGGATGCTGTCCTGCTAGTATTTGCAAACAAGCAAGACCTTCCGAATGCTATGAACGCAGCCGAGATTACTGACAAGCTTGGCCTTCATTCTCTCCGTCAGCGCCACTGGTAAGCTGAACCATTCTCTCTTGCTTTCGGTGATGGTCTATATTTGTGGATGTGTATGTAGCCCTTTGTATAATTCCTTTTTTGCAGGTACATCCAGAGCACATGTGCCACTTCTGGTGAAGGTTTGTACGAGGGACTGGACTGGCTCTCAAACAACATTGCAAACAAGGTAAGCACCTCAAGTTGCAGATTATATCCATTTGGGTTTCGTCAGTTCCTTCTACCTTATATTTGTTTATGCTAATAAATACCCACACAATTGCAGGCATAGGAGGCATCATTGAGTTGTTAGTCCTGTATGTTTTGTCCCGTTCAAGTGTTTTGTTTTTTTCATGTTCATTTGTTTCTTGCAAACCTTGCCACTTATTATATGTAGTTTAAGAATAATTGATGACTTCTGGGTTTCCTTTGTGGTATTATTACGAAAACTGAAAAGAAAAATCTCCAAGTCTATGCTATTTTCACTTTCTTTAATGCCTCTTTTAGCTTGTTCGATAAAGGAGACCCTTTCTTCTTTAGTTAATTATTTACAGAATTCAACATTTCTTAAACTAATTTAAATTATACTAATCTTTTGCAAATATCTGGAAAATTGAGGACATGATCAATTGTTGAATGATGAATAAAACAGAAGAGAAACCATAATTAAAACCATAGAACTATATCAAAAACAAGTTGAAAGAAAATCGGCACTTGGTAACGGACTGAGACAACAACCAAAGAGTGCATAGAAAATGCAGTCTTCATGGAGATAAGGTGCATCTTCTTGATGGTTTAGAAAAGCCTCCCTCAGAAGGATTCAAACAATGGTTACTGCATTAGTTAGCTCTGGAATGATTCACGTTGAGTGAATCTGATTCTTACCATCTCCGGAAAGTTGGATTGAAGGCCCAAAAACGGACATCTTCTCTTTTAAGTTCTGAATTGACTCATGCTTGTTTGCCAATTCCATGAGCACCTTGATCCTCTTGAAAGAAACATTGCTAGGTCTATGACCCTTCTCTATCATCTCCAAGAAACACTTTTCGGCATCCACCAGCTTCCCCATATCACAAAGCAGATCAAACAGCACATCAGATACCAAAACATAAGACCCAAAACCTTTCTCCACCATGTCATTCCACAACTGCAGTGCCATTTCCACTTTTTCATGCTTTCTAAACAACCTGATTAGAAACATACAAGATTGTGTATTTGGCAGGCACCCGGAATACATCATCCTCTGATACAAACTATAGGAGCTTCTCAAATCATTCGACCAAGAAAAGACCCTAAAGAACAGATTGTAAGTAGTTGCATTGGGACTCAAACCCTTTCCGTCCATTTCATCCATCAAACTAAAAGCATCACCAAGCCTCTTTGCAATGATATAATTTCTAATGACGGCATTATATGCCGCAACGTCGGGGTAACATCCATGCTCCTTCATTTCCTTCAAAATATCCCTTGCTTTGTCGGGCTGACCAACCAATCCTAAACCCCCGATAATACTCGTATACGTGATCACATCGGGCCACAGTTCCTCCTCTCTCATCTTGTCAACAACCTTATAAGCTTTATCGATTTCCCTACCCTTGCAATACACATCAACTAAGCAATTATATGAAACAACATCCGGTCTAACACCCAATTCCTTCATTTCCTCAAAAAATCCCTCGGCTTCCTCCGAGGACTTCCATCCAGACAAAAGTATATTAAAAGTCTGCAAATTTGGCCTAAAATCAAGTTTTAAACCATGATAAACATTCCTAGCATCCTTCATACTTTTCTCATGGCACAATGTCCTTAATAAAGCATTAAAACAAGAAATATCAAATTCAGAAATAAGTTTCTTAAACCTCCAGAAACTTTCCACAGTCTCTCTAACAGAACAAACCTTAGCAATTCTAGCTAAAACGACTTGCATAGTTCTAGGGGTTATCAAAAACTGATCTTTTCTTTTGATATCAATTAAAACCTCCCAAATTTTATCAAATCTCCTGCTCCTGCCCAGAACATAAAGCATGGTATCCAAAGAAAAGGCGGTGTGATAAAACCCTTTTCTTTTTCCTGTATACTGAAAGAACTCAAACGCGTGCAAAGGATTCCCATGACTAAACCTGAACCTTTTCAGAACTTTATCGATTAAATCGTTTGAGAGAAAAATCCCAGTTGATTTTAAGGATTGGGTCAAATTTTCTGAAGACGTAGAACTAGATATTATGCGGTAAATGGTGTCAACTTCATTGTTTAGGGGAGGATTCGAATCAGAGCAAAAGTATTTGAAGGGGAGAAATGAGAGTGGTGAAACGTACCTTGAAGCGGATTGCTGGGAGATAAGGATTCGAATTATCATTGCTTATTTTTTCGATATCTAATTACCGAGAGATGAGAAATTTTTGCTTTCCTTTTGCTATTGGAGTTCAAAGGAGGGGAGGGGAGGGGAGGGGAAAAGAATTGAGGGACTACTCGACAAGCCTAAACTCTGAAGCAGAAAAAACGAAGTAAAAACGACGCCTATTATGGGAATAAGATGGTGGAGAAACTACATGTATGGGTCAGTACAGTTTGAGTAAATTTCGATTTTTTACTGATTTTTCAGAAGTTACAAATTAAACATTAGTATTATTGATTTATAACAAAATGATTCTTAATTTTAACAACTGTTAGCTGTTAGTGGGGTGGACTAGTGGCAGATGCACTAAGCTCCTATACTGGTGAGTCAACCAACTGATCTGACACTATTTTTACCACGCGATATAGCTAGAAGTCATCTTCTTCTCCCCTCTACAATAATAGTCTTCTTCTCCCCTCCACAGTAACCGTCTCCAAAATCACGGCCGAAGTCAAGCCATTCATTTGCCAATAAAGCCTTCTTTTCTCAGCATTTGAAGGACTACACCATACAACTAAAACCAGCTTCTTCCTTCTTTCATCATGCATATATAACAACGCTTGAAGAAGAGGTTAAGAAAAGAGAGATAAAAATGACTACTATAGCAGCTATAGCTGAGACGATGCTCTGGTGCGTTCTGAAAGAAGCTTATTAATGCAAGAAATGGAGGTGGAGCCTCGCCCATATCATCGCAATTGCAGCTGTGTTTTACACAATTTAAAGGATAGTGTTTGCTCAATCTTTTTGACTTCGTAGAAAACTTCTTCCGTTGTAACCTCAAACATAAAGTACATTGTAACTTCAAGCCATACAAATTGCTCATATGTTGTATTAAAATGTTCCATTATTTGTGATATTTCATTTCTTGTTGCTCATCTCAGGGACGAAGCATAAGGTGGACATGTATTCTGGGTCCATATTTAACCATTGTTATGTCAAGTCCAATCCTCGGAACGTAGAAAACGTCGCCTGGATGGTTACTATGAGTTACATTCGTGTTAAAGCATCTTCCTTCCGATTAAGAATTGAACTATAAATTTATAGATGATGAAAATGGAATATACATCTTGTCGGTAATCTATTTCATTCTTATACATAGAACACAATCTTGGCAAATGTAAATCTTCACTCTTATGCTTGGTCTCTTTGTTTCACTGAATCAGTTTGACGATTTAATTTTTTCTAAAAAATGTAATGAAAATATATATTTGACTAAGTAGCTCTTCCTAATATTCTTTGGTGTAGATAATGAAAAACATGTTGTCGACACATGTTCGTTGTCAATTATTCAAAATTTCCAGCCCCGAGGTTGCAATGTATAATTTTTTCCTTTTTTTAAAAAAAATCTCAAACATGAAATGGTTTGTATCTTTTGTCATGTATGTTTAGGTATTCTACTATTTTTATCAGTATTTTTACCTACGTATGTCCCAAAAGATGTGAGGTCTTATGCTACTTTTTAAAATTATGCCCCTAAAATATTTTTATAATAAAACTAAATTATAAAATATCAAAATTTATCATATCACTAGTGTTTCTTATAAAATAAAAAATTAAACATACGACACTAAGATAATATCACAAAGCAAATTAAAAAAATAAACATATGAAACTAAGATAATATCACAAAGCAACTCTATAATCGTGATATTTTATTTAAAAAGTGTCATCCTCCGAACTCTATTAGAAGCAAAATAGTCAACCAAATCTTCATAGTCAATTTTCTCCAAAATATCGTTCTCAATCGCTATCAATGCTAACCTATTAAGTCTTTCTTGTGAAATAGTAGAACACATATAGGTCTTCAACAATTTCAATTTGGAAAAGTTTCTTTCTGCAGATGCAACTGTCCCGGGAATAGTTAATAAAATTCTATATGCAATAATAGTATTAGGAAAAATATTACCTTTCAAAAACTTTAAAATCTCCAATGATCCTATTTTTTCGACAGGCAAGAACCTTCTTAGTAACCTCAACTCCACATACAATTCATTTCCATCAATATCAGGTTGTCTTTTATTCTTAAGAATAGACTCAAAATAAGCACAATGAGACTTTAGACTGGCATAATCTAGTGACAACAACTTATGAGAAGTAAATAAAAACCCAAAATTTTTTCATATTAGTATTGTTCAAATCTCCTATTAAGAGAAACAATAGCTTGACCAACAATATATAAGAAATAATTAACTCTAAATGATTCCTTTGAGATTGTGGAGTCATGGATGGGGTGTTATCTAAATTCTCATAAAAAAAACTTTTTTTCTTTTAATTTCACGTCTTGAGGAAAAACGAGATCAATATTCATTTCGATGGCAATACCCTTAAAAACATCCAAAGCATCATCAAAACTAGTTTCTTTATATCCCTAAAGAAGAAGAAGAAATCAACCCCTTTATTTTTCCATGACAACATCAATAAACATGTCCTTTGATTGTAAATGATGATTAACCAAATTAACCACGTATAATATTTCAAACCAAATGATAATTGTCACAAAAAATTCATAATTACCAAGCTCATTTATTGCTAAAGATTTTCACTTTGTTCTTTAAAACCATTTTCACTACTTTCCGCTAATTAAAGTAAAGCTTCACGAGCTACTTGGGAGGCGTATTGGCTACACAACTCTTCGAAACAAACTTTATGATCTATGGAAGCCGTCTCAGCCTTTTCGTCTCATGGACATAGAAAACAACTACTTCCTCGTTTCGCTACGAACACACTCAGATTTATTGACTGCCCTCTCCGATGGCCCATGGACAATCTTTGGACATTACCTAACCGTTGAACCATGGTCGCCGGATTTTACCTCCTCAAAATTATTCCCTAGAAGAATTGTGGTGTGGATTCGCCTTCCGGGATTACCGGTAACCCTCAATAAACGTAGCCTTATTACTGAAATTGGTGAATGCTTTGGAAAGGTTGTTAAAATTGATTATCAAATGGAAACTGGTCGTCGAGGACGTTTTCAAGAATGGCGGTGAGTGTGGACCTGAAAAAACCGCTAACCTTGAAGCTTCTAATCAGTGGGCGCGTTCAGATCGTTGAATACGAATCATTGCCTACAATCTGCTTCTCATGTGGTCGGTATGGACATGTAAAGTATATCTGCCCAGATAAAATTATTGTCGACCAGCATGATTCAAATGACCCAAATGATCAAATAAGTGAACCACAATTGTCGACTGCCAATCAAAGCTCTAAACCATTTGGACCATGGATGGTTGTTGAGCAAAGACAACGGAAGAGCAATAAAAAACCTCCAACAGATAAAGGACAAAATCTGGAGAACAATGGTTCGCTTTTTAATCCTCTTTATGAATCAGCCGATGATGTTACAGTTGTTGCATTTGAAAATCAAGCTACATATACCAACAAAGTTACTCACACGCCAAATACTGTTCAGACTCCTCATGCTCATCATGCTTCTCATGGACCGAATGTCTCCCATGCTTCCCACGTGACTAATTCTCTTTCCTCAGCTAATCACGCACAGTCCAGCAAAAGCAACTCCAGCAGTCAACATACTATAAAAAACAAGATGGCCACTCTTGCCCGTAAACCACTAATGATCCCCAAGATCACTGCTAGATCTTCAAAAAGAAGCCCGGGTCAATCCAGTAACCAATCCCACCAAAGCAATGTTGAACCACGTGTTACCATACTGGACAGGTCAAAACATTCGGCCATCGTTCTAGCAGAGAATACAAATCCAAACATTATTGATGACGTGAACTTGCAAGTCATGCACGGAACCACCCAACACAAATCCATACCACGAGAACCACCCGATACAAACCAACTTCAATCGAGTGAAGCATTTTCTAAAAGACCAGATGTCGATCCTACTAGTCTTGCTTAACGAGACGATGCCATGCAGAATATTTGCACTGACAACCAAATGGTTCCCATGCTGGAATGATTTGGTTTCTATACTTATCTTTCTTTATGGATGTTAAAATAATATCTTGGAATGTATAGGGATGTGGCCACCCGCATTTTCTCACAGTTTTTCGGCAATATTTGTGTGACTTTAAACCGAACTTAGTAACAATCCTTGAACCCCTGATAAGTGGGGGCAGAGCTAATGCTTTTATTGCTGCCACTGGTTTCGATCGCTCTCACTGCATTGAAGCTGTAGGTTTTTCAGGAGGCATATGGTTATGTTGGCGCAGGAAAATCCATGTAGACATACTCCTCAACCATTTTCAGTTCATACACTGCCGTATATCTATTACATGTGGCAAGTTCTCGACTTTGGCAACCATTATATATGCCAGCCCGAATGCAACAAAGCGAAAACAGCTATGGCCTCACCTTCGATCCCTCGTTGGAAATATTACCTCCCCTTGGATCATGTTTGGAGATTTTAATCCCACGTTCACTGCTTCAGATCGGATGAATGCTACAATTTCTACTCGGCCTTGCAAACATTTCCAAGATTTTGTTTATGATTTTAGCATCCGTGACATGGGATTCTAAGGTCCTGAATTTATATGGAATCGGGGTGTCTCTTATGTTCGTCTTGACAGGGCTTTATGTAATAGAAAATGGGACGAATCGTATCCTGAAACAGCCATACATCATCTTCATCGCATGCGGTCTGATCACAGACCAATTCTCCTTTGTGTTGGCAGCTCTACAAATATCCTTTGCCCGACTCAATTCAGATATTTCTCTGGCTGGTTGCATCATGATGATTTCAACCGTATGGTGAAGGATAACTGGGTAAACTCTGAATCTCTTTTGGACACTACCACCCTCTTTACTAATGCAGCTGATACATGGAATAAAACGGTGTTTGGTTATATTGGCACACAAAAAAGATAGTTATGGCAAGACTTCGAGGAATTCACAAAAGCCTTAATAGACATCATTCAACTTTCCTTATTAATCTTGAAGCCGAACTCCTCACCGAGTTAGAGTAGCTCCTAGACCAAGAGGAAATTCTATGGAAACAACACTCAAGAATTAATTGGGCTACCCAAGGTGACCGAAACACAAAATACTTCCACAGAAGTGCTTTGCAGCGAAAGCAGAAGAATCGAATCTTGGCCCTAAAACTTCCTCCAAGTGATTGGTGCTTTGACACGAATAAACTTAATGAAGAAACTGTTTTTTTTTCAAGAATATTTATGCATGCGATGAGGAAGTGGTAGGGACTTTTCCCATTTCAGGCTACTTCCTGGCTATTCCGGCTCAATTAAAGGATTCCATGTCTATTGAACCCGATGATAAGGAAATCTATGAAGATCTTAAGGATATGGCTCCCCTAAAAGCACCGGGACATGATGACCTCCATGTAGAATTTTTCCAACAACAATGGCACGTGGTGGGTTAATCTGTCTGCAGCATGGTGAAAAAGGTTTTTGCATGAGGTGATATTGAAGCCGATTTAAACAAAACTATGCTTGTTCTAATCCCAAAAAAAGAAGGACCTAAAACTTTTACGGACTTCCGTCCCATCAGCTTGTGCACAATTATGTACAAACTCATCACCAAAATTATCGTCCGACGCATAAAGTAAGTGATGCCTATTCTAATCATGCCGAATCAAACAAGTTTCATCGCTGGCCGCTCTATTACCGAAAACATCATTATAAATCAGGAGGTAATCAATTCCATGCTCCAGCTCAAGACAAAGCAAGGTTGGATGGCAATTAAAGTGGATCTTGAAAAAGATTTTGATCACCTCCGATGGGAGTTCATTCAATATTCGCTCACTGAAGCTGGTTTTCCACCAAGCACTATCAGACTCATAATGCACTATATCACCTCGACCTCTATGCAAATCCAATGGAATGATGAGAATTCTTCTGTGTTCCAACCAGAACGGGGTATCCGACAAGGTGACCCACTTTCTCCATATCTCTTTGTTCTAGTAATGGAACGTCTTGGCCATAGCATTCGTAAATGTGTTGAAGAAAGTGATTGGAAGGGTTATTCTTTTTCCCGGCGGAGCCTCTCCATCAGTTATTTATTTTTTGCTGATGATATTATGTTATATGCAAAGGCTGATCTACCCCATACGAAAATCATTGAGAAAACCCTCATGGAATTTGGGTACTTCTCGGGGCACAAAGTTAGTAAACAGAAGATGCATAAATACTTCTCACCTAATACCACCACATCCACGAAATCTACCATTCTATCATGTCTTGGTTTCCAAAAAGTTGAATCTATGGGAAGTACCTTGGAGTTCCGGTCCTTCATAGGCGTATGAAAGTTGTTGATTTTGATTTCATCTTCGATAAATTCAGGAGTAAATTAAATGGCTGGGCTGCTCAATCCCTTTCGCTTGCAGGGCGTATTACTTTGAAAAAATCAGCCCTTTCAGTCATTCCAACTTATTTTATGCAAGTCATGCCATTCCCTAAATGGGTCTGTAATAAGATCAAAATCACGACAAGACATTTTATTTGGGGGTCAAAACTATCTGTCAGGAAAATCTCTCTAGTTAACTGGGCTACCGTTTGTAATTCGATTAATCGAAGAGGTTTGGGGTTTATTCGGCCTCTTGAGCAAAACAAAGCTTTCATGATGAAGCTTGGCTATTCCCTTATGGTGAAGACAGACTCTTACTGGGTCTAACTACTCAGACAAAAATATAAAATTCAGGAGACTCACTCTCTATCGATCGAAAAGCATAATTGTTCCCCATTATGGAGAGGAATATCGAAAATATGGAGACAATTGCTCTCATGTTTGGTTTGGTCAGTGGGTAATGGGAACTCTATAACTTTCTAGAATGATAATTAGGTGTCGAGCTTGGGGCCTTTACGAGACTATGCCCGAAATGATATACATGCTGATTTAACCCAGACAATTCACAACTTCGTTGATGTTCATGGCCATTGGGACGTTGCAGCTCTATCTCGAGTTTGCATTCCAACTGTCATCCCTCACGTCATCAATGTTAGACCCCCTGATAGAAACGATAAACCCTATGCTCTAGTTTGGAGATGGAATCCTGAACTTAGCTTTACAATGAAGTGAGCTTATTATTTTCTCATGGAAGGTAATTGGAATGAAAAAAACTCTATTTGGAAGGTAATTTGGTCAATCACTGCTCCTCAATGAGTTCGCATGTTTTCATGGCTCGCTTATAAAGAAAAAATCATGACGAATTATGAACGAGGAAGACAACTGCTCACAAATAACCATTCTTGTCCGACTTGTGGTGCAGCAACTGAAACTGTAATTCATGTGCTACGTGATTGCCCACCAAGCCAACACCTGTGGTTGCCCATTGTGCCCTAATTCGCCTGCTCAAGCTTTTTCGGGACTGACCTACACTCATGGATTACACTAAACATCAACATGCATCGTCCCTTATGCGAGGGTGATCCTTCTTGGTCCTATTTTTTTACTACTCTCATTTGGCTAATTTGGAAACAAAGGAACGATTATGTTTTTAAGGGTGCTACTTATAAAATAGACTCGATCATTCATAGTGGTTATAGCTGGGCCAAATGCTATGAAATCAATACCAAAACTCCTGCTGAACGCCTGAGATAACAGATGGCTGCTTCAACGTGGTCTCCACCACCCCGGGGATGGATGTGTTTAAACACGGATGGTGCAGTTGCGACACTTGATGGGAGAGGTTTGATTGGTGGTGTGCTTCGCAACTCCACGGGTGACTGGATTACAGGTTTTGTAAAAAATATAGGAACAACATCTTCCCTCCACGCAGAACTCTGGAGCATCTACGAAGGTTTATTCATTGTAAGGAGCTTTGGGGTTTCGAGATTACTGATACAATCCGACTGTAGCAGAGCAGTCAAGCTGGTCGAAGATAGTGATGCCATTGACAGTCATATTCCTCTATTACGCAATTACGAAGCAACGAAGGTCTGGATGCTGGATAACAAAGATCCAATGGATAAGCAGGAATGGGAACAAGATTGCAGATAGGATGGCAAAGCTTGCCTCCTGGAATCACTTCAGTTTGATTTGTTTCGACTTTCCCCCTGATGAGCTTGTTGATCTCCTTCGATTAGAAGCAGCCGTTGCGCAACAAGATGACGCTACTAGCCATGCTTAGACTATTATCTTAGGCTTTCTTTTAATTCAAAAAAAGAGAGTAAAGCTTCACGTATATTCAATATTTGGTTCTTATAGCTTTAACACTCTCAGTACGACTCTCCCAACGAGTTGATGACAATGATTTAGGAGTTAAACATTTAACATTATTCTTCAAAATTTGTCATATTTACGTAGAATGAGCAAATATAGTATAAATACGTTGTATGAGGCCAAAAAAATCTCTAGCTTCACTAGAACTATTGACAATATCACACAAAGTTAAATTAAGACTATGACAATAAAAAAGAGTGCAAAAAGCTCTAGGATTTATATTTAACAAATTTTTGTACTCCTTGATGTTTTACTTTAAATCGGTTTGTAAAATATCAAAAAGTCTTTGACTCATGCTATCATTCACATTTAAAAATCTTAAAAAGGATTCCTCAATAATAATAGGAGTAGAAGAAATATCAATATATCTAATTCTAAGAGACATTTGTTCTTGGTGGCTCACATCAGGAGTATAATCAAGTATGACTTAAAATACTTTACTTGTTTTATGTTCACACTTAATTGCAGAACCAAATAAAAATATTAATTTATTTTGAATTCTAGGACCAAGATAATGAAAATGGATTTCGTCATTCGTAATGCGTCAAACATGCTCTTAAAAGATCGAATCAAATTAATATAACATGTCAATTAAGCCAAAAAAAATTCATTACTATTTTTATATAATGTACTATTAGTACCACGAAATAATATGTTAAGTTTTGCAAGGAATTTCACCACTAAAATCTAAACAATACATTTTTCTAATGTTTTTTTTTTCATTTTAAGTAGTTTTTCCGTCTCTTTACCAATAATTTCATTCTTTTGAAATATAAGACGCAAATAATACTAAGTTGTCATATTCGTAAAATGTTTTATACTAATTTCATGCTCTTTGAGCCTTGTACTAACATGTGTCCAGTCATTAAAACCTTCATTGGCTAAGTGACCATTTCCAAACCATTTTCGAAATATTATACAACAAAAATAAAAAAAATTTGATCCAGTTCCTTGGAATAAAGCAACCACTCTTTATTACATTTTTCTCCATTTGATAATACTCTCGTAGACAAAGTTGAAGAAAATCGCTTTAAAATTTATTTTTAGGATCTTTCTCTATAGACAAATCTCTTTTAGGGCTCTCAACCACTACAAAATCAATCATATTAGCATTAAGATCATCCCAAATTCTAGGATCAAATATAGCAGACAAATTTTAGCATCAATATTATTTTTCAACATTTAAAGCATCATTGTCGACATTCTGACTAGTGTGATTATCACTAATATGATTAGAATTATCATTTTGAATTAACACATCATCATCACTTAAAGGTCTATCTTTGTCAACATGCATATTTTCTGTCAAATCAACACAATTATCATTATTGTCATTCAAATTA